TCCCAACCCCAAGTATATATGTTGAAGTCCTAACCTCCACTGGGATTATATCTGGAGGTGGAGGCTCTAGGAGGTAATTAGGTTAAATGAGATCCTAACGGTGAAGCCCTAATCTGATAGGATTAGTATCCTTGTCAGAACACAGCTAGAGAGCAGAGGTCACTTTTCTCTCTGTCACATGAGCACGCAGGGAAGGTGGCCATCTACAAACCAAGAGACGAGGTATCAGAATGAACCCACCTTGTTGGCACCCTGATCTTGGACTTGACATCTTCAGGTGTGTGAAAACCAAATCCCTGTTGTTTATTTAAGGCAGCCCGAGCGGACTAATGTAATTATTGAGTACGAATTTAACTCTTTATTTATTATTTTTTCTTCTGATCCTCACGATGGAACCCAGGACACTTTATCACTGAGCTACATCTCTAGACAACCTCCTGAGCTGTTGGGATTTTAGGAGTGCGCTATCCTGTCTGGTGAACTTAACTGTTTCTTGAGACTCACACACTTTGCGTATTTGCTCAGTTTTTCATTTTATTCAATTAGATGTTTTGTAATTCCACCCACAGACACACATCCAGAAGTGGGCATGGTGTAAAAACGATGTCTCAGACGAAGGGAGGTTCTGGGGTGGCATCACCCCAGAAGGGTGGTTCTGCAATCACGGCCACCTTACCAGGTTTCCTCCTGTAGTGACATCTCCCACCGAAGCTACAGAAATCCACACATCATCCGAGTTTCTGACAAAGCAACCTGTTTCTCTCTGGCCCGTGTAGTTTTTGACCTTGGGACCACAGGTTAGATGTCATGACTTTATAAGTTCTACGATATATTTCATGCAAATATATTTTCTGAGCATTTTCAGGGAAGAGCATTTATAGGTCTTTGCAGATTTCTCAGCAAACCCGGACTCTAGGGTTAGGACATGTCACATCACCCTTGGGTGGAGACCTTCTGAGGAGTCCAGCCCCAGGCCAGAATCTTACATGTGATCCTTTAGGTCTGAATAAAAGCCACTGCAAGGGCCTTCCAGGCAGGTCTGTGGGACAAAACTGTGTGCCTCTGTGCATGCAGTCTCTGGGGGAGGTGTATCCCAGGGCCCATGCCCTGTGCCCCAGCCCTGCTCACACACAGGCACACACACATCCCTCCTCCGGAGCCCAGGAGCTGCCCTTCAGAGGCCTTCTGACCTGCAGACCTGGCTGGGCTTCTTTGCAGTCACCTCCATCGAGGTAGTCCTCCCTGGGTGCCAGGGCCTTCCCCAAGAACTTCACTCTGCCCTTGGATTAGGTCCCCCCAAATCCCAGCCCTCCCCCTTTCTCTCCCCCGAGGGCAAATGGAAATGGAGAGCACCTTTCCTTTTCCTTGCCTCTTGCTTTCACTGGGAGTAAGTGGACACAGCTTGATGGCTGTTTTCCGTTTGGCTTGTTGTCCTAATTGGTCACCCGGCCACCTGGAAGCTTGCCCTGAGCCAAGGGGCTCCCACAGATCTCCTCCTCGGGAAGTTCATGTTTCCCTAAAATCATCATCGAGGACAGATCTTCAGAAGAGGACCTAAATGTCTTCATTCAGGGGTCTTAAAGAGACCTGGCAATTCCAGGGAGCCCCCAGATGACCCTTTTCCTTAATATTTCATGTAGATTCCTTCTCACGTGGACAGTAATCAGATTCTCATTCCATTTGTCATCTGGGAAACTGGTAAACACACCC